TAGCAACGTGTGAATCTAACAGCTGTGATGCATGTACGGCCGGCTAGCCGGCGCCAGAGTCACGCCACGAATTAATTCCTGATATAGTCAAATAGGTTACCAGTGTCAGAACCTTTAGAGCTCTCAACACAATAAAATCTACAGAAAAATAACACAAAAAATACTCACATGGAATGACCGGTATCATCCAATAACAAGCATAGTTACACCCGAGAAAGGACTCGCACTGCTTAAATAATAATCACAAATCAACACTGGACATTTTATATGCCTTCCAACGCAATATTGCACATACGGCCTCAATAACATCGATAACTCATAACAAATACCACGAAAACACATGCACTAGATTAATGTAATATTCGTAAAGTTATTATCACAATATAAACGGGATAACACCTAACAAACGCATAACACTTTTCTACTCGTCCTTGCATTCACATAAATTGGCAGCCATCTTGCGTTCATGCGAATTCGGCGATATTGCCATATTCAAAAATATATATCACATTTTTTGTGATAATTATTTTAATTAAATATTTTGAAAAACATTAATTTTAGTATTTCATTTCATTATAATCATAAATTTGTACTTTAAATATTATAAATTTTAAATTTCTTATTTATATTTGCAAATTTAATTATCTGGCATCGTCATATCATAGATAAAAAATATTTTCAGAAAAGTACAGATAAATAATTTGTAATTATATGAAATTTAAGTTCAGCTTGGGTAACATTGAATATTTAATGAATGGGGAAGATTTCTTGAAAGAAGGGCCCTACACGTATGATCCATTTACATTCAGTCTAAGATTTTTGCTTCTATTGTATTCGCATCTTACCTGTGCAATGTATTGTACCTGGAAGTTAGACCAGCTGAAGGATCGAGAAGGAGAGGTGCATCCATCCTGTGTTGGCCCTGACTGACTGATGGATTATCACACAGCCTTAACCGCTGGTCGTAGAAATGTGAACGTTTGAAGGACGTATTGCTTATATGATGTAAGCATCCGGTAAGAAAGAAATTTTCGAATCCCAAAGTGGATTAAAGATTGTATGAAAGTCTGTCATCCTTAATGTGAAGTACACAGAAAGTAGTGTTTAGCTTTAAGATAAAAAATAAGATACATATTTATTTGATTTTTTTGAAATTCATCCCTCAAAGAATTAAAAGGAGCTGATGAAGTTTATATGGGCAAGAATTATTTATAATCACTTACCACTATATTAATGCTCTTCAGTACAATTAAATAAATACGTGTTTTAGCATTTTTTGAAATTCAATCCCATAAGGCGGTAAAATGGAGGATGAAAATTTGATTTGTATGAAACTCTGTAATTAATATGTAAAAAAGTATAAAAAATAAAAAATATATATTCATCTGTAGACGATTTAAGAGTTTTCAAATCACTTTTTGTAAAATGATATCCTATGTGGATATGGCCTTAAATATAAAAATTTTGATTTCACCAATTTTGGTCGTCTTATTGCTTTAGCCCACAATATCTTCAGTTTGTAGCTTTTGGGAACAAATGATATCCATTTTCTTTGCGTCCTGGCACTGCACAAATTGTAATTTTTAATTAAATTTTACATAAAATAAAAAAAATCCATCCACGCTATAGAGCTTTACAATATACTAAGGATTATAATGATTGCGACATCTGGCGAGAGAAAAAGGCAAAATTATTCCCCAAAAAATGTTTTGACAGCACCAGTTGGCGTCACTGGCGAATAAGGTCCTATCGCTGTTGTTAAAAAATGTTAGTGCAGCACGGCCATAAATTTAATAAAGTAATAATAACAATTGTAAGCGAAGCATCAGTTTATCAGGATTTTGTTTTCAATAATTAGTACATAATAGCTCAAGCAAACAGAAAATATTTAAAAGTCATTTGATAATTGTAGAGACCTCACTCTACACTAGCGCCTCTCGCGGCGTTTTTTCAGCGATTTCAAGGCGTTAACCCACATTAGATTCTAATTATCCTATGTGACTGCACTGTTTATATTTAAAATTGAATTTAAACGCATTTAACGATAAATGTTTATTTAGTATGTTCATTAAATTAAACTACCAAAAATCTATTTAAAGCTTTTTCATATTTTGTAGTTGTTCATAGAGATAATACTTAATTATGTTTTCTTTAACTAAGCTTTCTATCAATGTAACTCTCGCTTATTTTTTTAGGTTATATTCTGTACCAATTATCATTACAATCAAACGTTTTAGGACAGCGCCATCTATTGATGAATTCTAAACTGAAGTGTTTTAGATAATATGCTTATGAAACGATTTATGTCACGAAAATCTATATCAAGTATACAAAAATTCCTATGTCCAGAAAATTGTGTGTTCTGACACAGATGACATAGTATGATACTAGAACAAATGCCCCATTCCATACAAAATTATTCGATAGCGTTACTCCGGGCTATGTTTTAAACTATTTCCCATTTCTTGAATCAATACGAGATCGCAAAATATCGAACTATTTTATGTTATATATGTGTGTGTGAATTAAAATATTACGAGTATTACTATAAAATCATAGTAAATTTAACAAAATAAGTTTTAGCAACTTAAAAAGTTTTTAAACCTAATAAACTACTCATAAAAAATAAAAGCGCAATCTGTGAACGAAATAAGCACTACAAACCTATTATTACAAATATAATATAATTTTATACAAATCGATACATTTAAGGGCATCTATTGACATTCATATGAACTAAATTTTCTTTGTTCCGTATGCGAACACGGGCTTACCAAGCCAGACCCCCCCCCATTTTGAATTGAATTATTCCATTTTTAACGTTCGATTTTGAAGTTATACTTCTTTTGAGAAGCTTAGAAAAAAATATGAGAGTAAAATTTTTACGATGCGCGCACACACCGACAGCCAAAAAGCGACATGATGAAGTTAGCTGCATTTCTTTTACAAACAGAGAGTTGTGACATACGGGATGAAGTCTTTAGCTATTTTTGTTCTGTTACGCCAAAGAAGTATAATTTCTTACGTGCGTACATAAGTACACATACACGTTTTTTTTTCTACTATTTATTTGGTAAGTCAGCTTTAAAGCATAATCTATTCATTAAATATAGTAATAATAATTTAATATTTTTTTTATTTTCTTGAATTATTTAAATATTCATGAATATTATTGTTCAAAAGTTTTAAGCATTTAGTGATTAATTAGTGTTTAAATATTTATTGAGTCTTTTTAAAAATTATATTCTTATTTATAAGGGCTAAGAAATAAGGCTGATATATTTCCGTCCACTACTAAATTTATATTTCGACTGCTAAAGGCGGATATTATGAAATTTTTGTGAATACTGAAATTTAAGCTTGAAATAATAAGCTTAATTAAAAAGGCACAAAACAATGGAGAAATAAAACAAAAGCATTGTCAGTAATCTAACTTTTACTCTTTGATATTTTTATTGTTTTACAAATCACTTACAGACCACAGGTCTTACTTATTATAACTTAGATATTAAGTGACATCCAATCGAATTATTAAAGAAAACAATTAAAAAAATGCATATTCTTAAATAACATATTTGGTAAATCTACTCATTATGTTAAATGAAGACGCTCGTGGTATGGGATATGTACAATGTACTGGATATTTCTATTTATAAAATACATTAACTTAATTTTTTTTTAATTCATAAAATTATTTTTATATAAAATACAAATTTATCTTTAAAAGGATTTTGAACGAGAACTCTAATTTTAATGAATTTTCTTTCAATATCTCACAAACTGAAAACAAATTTTTAATTAATTTGAAATCAGTGTGCAAATTTAGCAACTAGAACTCATTCCCTTATTTGAAAATCTAGATATTATTGTAGTATTAAAAGTATAAATGACATTTAGTTTTAAAAACTTCATTTCCAATAACTTAATATTGCTTAATTTTAGATATGTATATTTTAACATTACAGAATTTATCCAGTACATTGATAAAAAGGAAAATATTTATTTTTATTATTTTCACAATAATTAATTTATTTTGAAAAAGATTTAAATCAAGCTAATTTTATATCAATAGCTTATAAGACTTTATTAAAATGATCCCCATTTTCACCCTCTTAAATGATGATTTCCGGGATAAAAATTATCCCATGTCATTCACAGGGTTTCAAACTATCTTCTTACCAAATTTCATCTAAACCGGTCCAATAGTTTCGAAGCTTATTCAGTACAAACAAACAAAAAAATCATTCTTCCTCTTTATATTATTAGTATAGATATCGTATGACAATTTTCGATAAAACTATTGATACAAAATCAACTTGCAAGTATAATATGTTATTTATCACGTTATTTCTAAGTTAGAAAGTGTTAGCGCCTTCTAAAACGAAGGGAGGGCCAATAACACTATATCGGTATAATTAACTTAATGCTAACAAATAAGTACCGATCGAAAACCGATTGAGAAATCAGGTCATATCATATAATAAAAATGCAAATTTACCCATAATAATGGTATAAACACTGAGAAATCGTTTTTTTATAATTCGTTTTCATTATTTTATTATAACTTATTAGTAATATAATGTATATTTGTCAGTGTATTTACCACATATATGTATTTCCGTCAAGAGATTTGACTAGACAATCACACACACACTGTTTTATTGTCCGTAGGCTCACTCACGTTTAACTCGAGATGGCGAGTAACTCAGTTGGCGAATCGATATTTAAAAATATAAGTAAACGAATGAAGAATATTTCTCAAAGCACACACTTAAAAAGTTCATTTTAAAAAAATATAACATAAAAAGTAATTATAACTAAAATTTCTTATAAAATCGATTCACACAACATCGAGTTAGTCGTTAGTCGATGCAATCGTCCGCCATCTTGTCGCACGTCAAACAATCAACATGGCTGCCACGTCACAAGCATTTTCCTTTGAAAATCCGACGTTATTCAGCATTTTAAACCGGTCCAGCGCGGATTGGTCTCGCCGCTTATTTTATAATGACCCCGGGACTTTTCTGGAACTCCACCGGTAGAAATATGTGCATGAGTTTCTCTATTTCGCCGCGACACAAAGGACAGCGCTCACATCTGTAATAATTGAAAGGAAATATTTATTAGATAATATTTATTTTGTTTTCTCTACATATACATTTGAATGATTAACGTGTCAAAATTGTATTATATTCATTAAAATTTTGGATATAATTGTGTAGTTCTAATTATGATTGTAAATGAACTTATCTACAATTTATAGTTATATAATTTGTACTTGCAATCTTCTTACATTATATCAGATTTACTTGTGAGAATGGATGTTTTTTTTTAATATTTGGTACAATTAAAAAAAAAAGTGTATGAAAATTGTCTGACAATAAGTGTAATTGGGTGTGCAAAACCGAGTTTATTGGCACGGGTGGTGTGGGTGATGTTAATGTAGGATGAAGGGTATGTGTAGGATGATGAGTGTCCGTGGGCAGTGGTGGTGATGGTTTAAGGTGCGACATACCGGGGCGCGCAGGCGGCGCAGCACACGACGTGGCGGCAGGGCAGCAGCAGCGTGTCGATGGCGGCGTCCATGCACACGCGGCACGCCAGCGCGTCGCCGCGCGACCGCGACCGCGAGCGCGACCGTGAGCGCGAGCGGGGCTCCTGCACATACACACCGTACGTTATATATATGTTTCAATATTAAACTTGGAGTATTCATATATTGCATTTGCAAAGCCAAAGGAAATTAATAAACAGATAGTAAGAAAATGTACAGTAAGAAACACCTTTTGCAGTCCCCAAGAAAAAGACAAAAGACCATTGATATATAAAAATATACATACACATTTTTTAACAAATATCTCATAATAAAATGGCGTTAACATGGCACGTTAGGTCAAACCAAAGAATAAAATTAAAAAATCGAAAGTTCTAATTGCTTAAACACAAACTCGAACTTACGCATACCACATAAAGTACTTTTTTAAATGAAGCAACGTGCGTTTTAATTAGAAGAAAAAAAAAACAGAAAAAAGCGCACAATTTCGACTTATATGCACTTCTTTTTGACGACACTTTTGAGACGTTAATAATGTGTATCATAGAGTTTTTGTGTACCAATGCATAAGACACCAACTAACAGAGTAAGAAAAAAACACACAAAAAGTAGTATATTAAAAAGGGACATAAGACACAAGGCACTATATCAAAAAGACACATATGACACAAAGCAGTATATTAGAAAGACAGAGGACGCACCTGGTGCGCGGGCGGACGCGCGCGGCGCGCGGCGTGCGCGTCGCGGCGCGCGCGGTCGTGCACCTCGCGGCACGTGCGCCGGATGTCGAACACGTAGCGCCGCCCGAGGGTGGACGAGTCGTTGAAGATGGACGCTATCGTGCCCTGGGGTTTGGGGTAGTTGGCTTGTTAATTTTTTTTTCAAATTCAAAATATACATAAGTTTAATGTTATTGTTATACTAGCGACTCAACCTCGCTCTGCTCGGGTTTGTCCCTAGTTACGTATTAACGTTTAGTATAGATTTCTCAGAGACGAAATACTTTCCCCCAGTAAAAATTCTATATGTTGACCCGGGATAGCCAACAATCATCATACCAAATTTTATCAAAATCTGTCCATTGGTTTTCTCGTCATGTGTTCCCAGACACAGAAAAAAGGTCTAAAAATTATAAATCCGGCCTCTGTATTGATAATAATGACTACTGACACTTCGGTGGCGATGTACCATGTGGGTTGCTCCTGGTACTTCTCTGATAGCAGAGTGGACCTTGGAGCACCCATGGTTGTTGTGGTCTGCCTCGGCAGACCTGCCGTCGGGGCGTCGTAGTTGAATGCGTAAGCGATCCTGCGACGCCACATTAAGACGGGGGAAGGTTTTGTTGGGTTTTAGTGGGTAGTACTGGCTTCGCCGGTGAGTCCCACACCGCGTGCGTAAATGCATTTCGCAACATTATAAAATAGTACAAGTACCATTCCATTTTCTATTTCAATGGTTGTAATGTCTACAGTAACTACATACATATATTACGTACGTAGCACTAATGAAAAATGATAAAAATATATGTCCATAATATGGTTATTAACTTTAAAGATCTAAAATTATAATAAAAGATTATACTATAAATATACTTAGAATATAATTTATATTTTCCGTATAAAAACGTAACGTCAACGAAGCATGAATTTCTATGAAAAATATCTAAAATCAAGCATTTATCCACAATTACATTAGCGAATATATTTAATGTAAACAAAAAAAACCTGAACCGGACACACCCTCGTCTAGAATATTAATCGACCTGCTTATTAAGTACCTCAGGAGACAAAGTCCACTATATGTTTATTCAATTTATTTTATTTACAAAACTTCACTTGACTGTAATCGACAATCGTGTGTCATTTTACATTTAAAATGCAACTTTGTGTGGGTATTTTTCACAATATTTGTTATTTTTTTATTATTTTATATTATATCGATTTAACGTGACAATAAATATTTTTTTGTTTTGTCTAGTTATAAAATAAATAAATATGTTGGGACATTAACACACAGCACCATCTAGTTCCATGGTAAGCTACGAGGCTTGTGTTATGGATACCAGATAATTGATACACTACACATATATAACTTTATATACATACATATTATAAATATAAACACCCATGGCTTTAGTACGAACATTCGTGCTCATCACACAACATCCCTAGCGGGACTCGAATCCGCGAACGTTGGCACAGCAAGTAGGGTTACTACTTGCTACAAACTGAGCCAAACGTGTCGTCGTTCTATTACAATTTGAAATTTTTATTGATGTAGCTGCTGTAGATTAAGCAAAAAAATGTCTCGTATTTTATTTAATATATTTAAACAACTGTCATATTACAAGTACAATAAATTGTTATTTTGTTCTGTGCGGTAGGTACTTTTTAAATATTGCCGTGTTTGAATTGTTTATGTAAGTATGTATTGTTATAACTTATAAGCACGGCGGTGTAATAATAAATAATATAAAATTATATAATAATCATCTACACGGACTTTCTTTAAATTACGTTAACGATTCAAAGTTAGCCGGAATTAAATTAAATAATATTCTTCAATATTGTCCATTAATCGCTCAATGAAAATCTATATATACCTATTCACCGAGACAAATACTTATACTCGTATGACACATCGTCTAAATTTTTATGCGTGAACACTGTATAATGCATAAATGTCACCTATTTAAAAGGTGACCGTGCTAGAAAAATAAATTTCCCTAATTGTATGTTTTGTAATTAATTCCTGATTATCTATACATATAATAAAATTGTAACTAAGCCGAATCTATACATTAAATATTTTTTGGAAAATCTTATTGAAATAAACATTAATATCGATGAGAGGCCGAATCTATACTTTTTAGAATTTTTGTCTGCCTGTCTGTCTTTCTGTTACCGATTCACAGAAAAACCACCGGAGGGATTTTAATGAAATTTGGTATGGTGATAGCTGGTTATCCGGGTCAACATATAGGATTTTTTTTACCGCGAGAAAATGTCTCATTTCTGATAAAAAATACAAAAACTGCAATGTGAGAGTATACTAATATGTAAAACCTAAGAAATTGGTTTTTGGTCATCTGAACGCGGGCGGAGGCGCGGGCAATGCTACTATTATAATCAAATTTTAACTGAGTCGAATCTGTACATTAAATATTTTTTGGAAAATCTTATTAAAGTAGTCATTATCATCGATACAGAATCTACAGTTTTAGAATATTTGTCTGTTTGTCTCTCTGTCTGGGAAAGTATCACGAGAAAACCACTGGATAGATTTTGATGAAATTTGATATAATAGCTGATTGTCTGAGTTAACATATGGGATATTTTTATTGAAAATATCTCATCTCAGAGAAATCTATACTAAAACGAAACTAGGGACGAACCGGAGTGGAGTGAGGGTGAGTCGATAGTATTATAAATAAAATGAAAATATTTCGTTTCCAGATTAAATAATGGAAACGAAATATAGTATTAATTTTTAATATAAAAATATGTAATATCATTCGAAGAATCAATTGAAGGTCAAAGTTTTCGACTTGCATATATTAAATATTTTAAACAATTAAAATCTTATTGTTTAATGTTTTTCATGAATTTAAAATGTCGTGGCGAGGTTTGCCGCCATTTTGTACGTACATATTTTCAAATCGGATTCTTTAACAGTAATATTTGCAATTTAAATCATTTTTAAATGTATCTAATGAAATAGATTTTAGGTTAAGAAAATAATTAATATTTTCATTTCGTTTATAAAATGTCACGGTTCAGTTTATATAGCGTGGAATTTGGCGGGAATCTGCCATATTGTTGTCCTGACAACTTAATTTTAAGGTTATTTTCGAATGCTTCCAGTTGACGAGTTTAATGTATATTTTTAAGAATTTTATGAGGAACTAACCTTTAGGTCTCTAATGAACTGTTCAGTCACATCAGTTCGTACGGTTTCACAGCAGAAGAAGGCGTGTTTTTCTGTGACAGCGCGGTATAACGCTGCAGCTTGGCCGGAAGTCGCCATCTTGACGTGCAAAGTCGCTTCGTTGCCTTTTCCCGTGACATATGACAGTTGGAACATCCGGCGAAGAGGTTGTGCACGGTGGATAGCTGTATAGGGTATACTGAAATGAAAGATTGAAAGGTTTCACTTTTCATTTCGTTAGATACACTGTGTGTGTACAAACTGTATATAGTACAAACACAGGCAAAGAAAAGGCAAAGTAGAGTAAGAATAACAAAAATCTAATTTGCCCATAATCACTAATCTTGATTCATTTTATACGAACATGTGTACGTAGTAACGTACGCCTTTCGATCATCACCTGTTATCCATATGTTTTAAATCTGAATAATATATCAATATAATAAATAATAACAAATAATAAATAATAATAAATAATAAATAATATAATGAATAATGGCAGATCCACTATATAGTAAAGCATACACATAAAACGTATAACATCCTAAGTTAATAAACCAGTTGGAAGTATAAAGAAAAATCCAAAAAGGCTTGTCTAACTAGGTACATGACAATATGAAGAAGTGATTTATTTATAAGAAAATAAAATGTTATTGTGAAAACCATTTTTAATGTCAAATTGAAAATATACAGCCAATTAAACTTATTATCAAATAACATTTGGCAAATAAAAACCTGTCTTTATATTTTGAACAAAGTATTACCTTTGGTTGAAGGTCGAAAAATTGCAAAGTCAACGTGTTGATACTACGCAATACAAAGATCACGTAAAATCATATAAAACAGGTAGTTTTAAGATTTTGAATGTCTATTTTTTTTTTAATTAAGTTTATTTAGCTAAAAACATACGGATCTTACTCAGTTTTAAGTGAGATGTACGTTTTTATTTTATTCATGTGTATCTATAATATTATCTATATTATGTATGTATAAGACACGATTTCATAATAGTATGACGTGTTCTCTATACTTACTACGAGTAATATTATAAAGAGGTAAGTTTGTGAGTTTTTGACGTTGGTAATCTCTAGATCTACTGAACCGATGTAGATGAAATTTGGTAAGAAGTTTGTTTGAAACCCCGGGAAGGATATAGGATACTTTTTATCCCGGAAATCATCCCTTAAGGGTGTGAAAATGGGGATGAAAGTTTGTATAGGAAATCAAGCTAGGGACGAACCCGAGCGAAGCAAGGGTCAGTTGCTAGTATATTAATATACAGCAAAAAGTCACTAGGAAAATGTATGTACAGTGTATATATGTATATTTCCCAAGATAAAGTAACTTAATAGAAACCATTAAAATATAAATGATAGCACACAGCTGAGTCAATATAAAATATAATCACTTGTTTATTTACTTGCCCACGAAATGGCTTCGCGAATATTTTGTAGGCAAATCATATTTTATGTAGATAGAGTTGTAAGTTGCAGTACCTATAGAATACCTTTGTTTGTTCACTAATCAGTGTTGTATATTATCATCGAACAAATAAACTAGATTAGTTATAAAACGAGCTATTTTGAATTAATAAAATAATAGAATATACTAAAAATATATATTTAGTTTTTTTCCTTTATACGTTTTAACTTAAAGACTCTATGACTCGGGTGGTCATTGCCTGCGAGGACGGAGGGCGTAGGTTCAACCTCCATATGCGCAAATACAATTATAAATGACAGGGCATAATAACAACATGAGTCAATAAATAAAAGAAAATAGTGAAGAACATGATTATAATAATTCTTTTTTGCATATCAAAACAACTCATCTGAAACAAGCCTAATATGAACAACAAACTTATCACGATCGCCCTAAAAAGATATGCATCCACAAGAACTTAACACTGACATTATCGTTCAATCATTCTCTGATATTTTCGTTCAAAACAAAGAAATACTATTTTTGCATCTTTTAATATATATTTTTTAACTATTAATTCACCCTCTTTCTTCTGGAAAAGTTTGTAGTTTCTTCTTTAATCTTTAAATTGACTTAACTTTTTATTTACGAATCAATTGAAATAAAACATACTAAATGTTAAGTGAGCTTACCACAATACATTAATGTAAACCGCACCCAAATCGGTTAAGCTGTTTCTGAGATTAGCACACAGTCAAACAGACAAAAATTCTAAAAATCATTGTTTTGGGTTTTATTGCGGTAATAAAGATCCTAGTAATAGTTTTTCTCAAATATCTTTACATGTACATACAGCGATCAGTTACAATTCTATTATATTATGTATAGATTGTATTATATTTTTTTCTGCACTTCGAAGTTATTGCGTAGACATAAATTTTATCAGATTCCAAAATTGTAGACCATTTAAGTACTTTTTGCTCACATAATAAGTACTTTGTATTAAAAATATAATAATTAGTGCGGAACTATTTTAGCAAAAAAAAAGGTCAAATTAGATTGGACACATTTAGATTGGTAATTGCTTTTCTTTTATTGGTAAATGGCAATTGTTTGAACGACTGTTATTTATCTAATTGTATGTCTTAACGTTCGTCTTGTGAGGGATTAGCAAAATTGATCTAACAAAAGTGATATTTAAAAAAATTAAATATTTGTGTAAAATTAAATTTAGAAGTGTTTTTTATTATTAAAAACTTATCTGGTTTTAATCATTGTTAGCAACAATGACGTCGAAAATCGTTAAAAAGATAAAATCGACTCATAAAAATAAAAGATTAAGTACAATGAAAGCGATTATTATAGATGATTTGTCACTTTTATCTAAATGATTGATTTTTAAAGTCACAAAACTTAAGTAACTTATCAGAAGTGCGCAAAAGTTCGACGGACGGTCATTGTGACGTCATTAAATGTAAACACTGAAATAATAACATTTGTACACATTATTTTGTTACTTAATTAAAAATATTAAATTGAATACTAACCTCTGTTTTTCCACACCGATCTCCTGTTCACCGTTGCACGCTGGTCTGTACACAACGATCCCGTGAGGTCCCACGCCCACGCACGTGCTCAATCTACAGCCACAACCGCCCACACTTTGCCCACTCGCCAAACAACCTACTGTAGCTCCCCCATCAATCTCCTGCTCATCTCGAGCCCTGGGCTCCTCAGCCTGCTGTCTGTGATACAATAGATGACTGTACAAGTTATAAGCATTGTTATTTTGTGTCACTGGTTTGCAGAAAAATAGTTCCTCCCCAAAAGATTCCAGTTTTGAGATCTCTTTGAGCAATCTGTATTCGGCTTGTGACGCCCTCATTCCTGATATTTCGCAATGATACTCAATAATTTTGGCCATGTGGTCGTCTGGCTTCTCGACGGGGCCTATTTTGTGGCATTCGTCATACACATGTGTTGGTGCGTCGGGTTCGCAATCGCCGGTTTCCGCTTGCGCGATGTACGCAATGATACGCCGAGCGACTTCTTGATCGGCGACGACTAATCTGCCTTCAATAAGGTCCAATTTTGCGTGGAGGTAAAACTGGTGTCGCGTTGGCTCGTTGATGAGGAGATGGGGAGGCACCCAGAACTTGACGCGGAGGTCAAGTCGTCTGCTCGGTATGCGGTGAGGGTCCATATGATTTCGGAGATTCAGCCATCTACCTGGTCCAGATCCTGAACAGACTCTGAGACCAAAGTAGTCAGCTTCAGCGCCTATTTCCAACTTTTCGCATACCTGAAAAAGAAACAAATACTATTAACTACGAGATTCTAAATTTAATACTAATTCTCAAGAACGTTTCTCTCATAAGTTATAACTTATAATTATCTGTAGCATTGCATGTAACAAATTGGTTACGTTTATATTTTGGCCACTACTCTCTATAATTATTCGATGTTGATATATTATAAGTAATGGTATGCTAACACCGTTTATTGCGTTCTTTGGAAGAAGTTTCATTTTTTTCATGGACTAGTCACGTAAAACTCTAGGTAGTATTATTTATTTTATGATGATGGATGCCCATAAAATGGCAACATCTAGTTTGGGGACTAATCCTAAGTGAAAGTATACAAGTACATATTACAAAAAATATAGTGAGTCGGTTTCTCTTGCTATAATACGTAATGAAGTATTTTTTGTCAGTACTATTTAATGACTGGTTTTGAATGTAGTTATTAAATATAAAAAAAATACCACTTATATGTAATAAACTTGACTTGAAATTTGGAAAGTTTTAGAATTTTAAAGGAGTTTTTAATTAAAATTAACCTCCTTGGCTTTCTGGATCGCTTAAGTTCCTCTGTAATTCTACATCATTTAAATTATTTAACATATTGTTTTAAAAGGTGAGACATTAAAAATATGGTGAGATTAAAACATAAACAATGTAACTCAATCGTCCATCACGTGTGCATATTATTTACTACAAGTGTCCCGGTAAGAGATACGGGCAGATAATATGTCAATGAATGCTAATAATTATCCATGATCTATTTTCAAGCTAAATATTATAATCAATGTTTCTATAAACATTAACATTTTTTTGGACATTAACACACAGCACCATCTACATAGTTCCATAGTAAGCTATGAGGCATGTGTTATGGATACCAGATAGTTGATACACTACACATAAATAACTTTAAATACATACATATTATAAATATAAACACCCATGACTGGAGTACAAACATTCGTGCTTAACACACAAATGAATGCCCCCAGAGGGACTCGAACCCGCGGCCGTTGGCACAGCAAGTTTGGTCACTACAAACTGAGCCAAATGCAAATAACTATTAAATTATAGTTAAAATAATTAAATTAAATAAATAATTATAGCTAGTGTTCGCCCAGTGGTCAAAATTTGACTACAATCAGAGGAAATATAAGTATATTATTCCTTCCACGACCGCGGACACGCCGGCGTGTCAGTTAACAGTAGATTTCTTAGAATTTTAATTAATTTCTTAGAAATTTACCTGCAGGTGTTATGAATCGAATTTACCTATTTACATACATATAAAAAAAGTAACTGTTTTTGATTTTTTTAATGACAACACTAATGCTCGTCAATAGCTACTTGTACTAACTACACAAAAAAGGAAAATCGGTTGAGAAACAGAAAAGAAAAATTTACTTAATTTTGGCTATTTATATCTATTTAGATATTAACGCAAAAATTTATGACCTTAAAAAGATAATACTTCTTTTGAGTAATTTTTTTGTAAGAAATATCGAAGTTAGTTAAATATACATCCATATCATAATATTTTAATAATATTTATAATTATGTTGGAGTCAGTGTACTTTTTTTAGTTGAAAAAATTAGCTATATTATTAATGTTTATTAGTTTTATCTTTTTCACGCAGCAACATAATATCTTACTGATTGGGCGTACTTTTTGTATTAATCATTAATTAACCAAAAAATATCATTTTTGTAATAAGTTAAAAATTTGCCTACGATGTCTAAGATATTAGACAATAACTGGCAACATTATTCATTTGTAAGTCTTACACCTATTGTATTAGAAGAGAATATTAAATTACTTTGTTATTTTCTAGATAATATAAAGATTGTTCCCGTAGATGATTACAAATTATATTCTATTGTTGGATGTGTAATTAAAAATTATGGATAAAAAAGTATAATTACGAAGTGGCACGTTTTATTCACATATGTTGTTTACTTCTAACAAAAAAATACCTATCTATTAAAAATAGATAGATATTGTTTTTGTTAGAAGGTAGTAAGTAGACTACCTTTGAAAACATTACAGGTCACGGACAAAATCACACTATTATTATGTGAAAGTTAATCTATACTAATATTATAAAGAGACAGAGTTTGTTTGTTTGAACACGGTAATCTCGGGAACTAGTAATTCGATTTGAAAAATTCTTTTTGCATTACGTCGTGATACTACCCAAGGGCGCGGAATCCGAGCGAAGCGAGGGTGAGTCGCTAGTATGATTATGGAATCGAAAAATGTACAGCCTTTCAATACTGACGAAAATCACTATCAATCCCTAAGAAAAAAATGTGTGAAGGATGACAAATTAAACTTTCGTAGATTTACACGAATATTAGACATTTTAAATAAAACTATCTTTTCGGAATTTATCTATATCTTTAGTCACGGGAAGAATAAGCGAGTCTGAGTAGTTTTATTTAAAAAGAAGAAATAAAAAGTTATATATAACCAATAGCTTAATATCTTATAATATATATAATAATATCCAATATCTAATAATATCCATAATTTTCTAAATAACCTCTTAACAACTCTATTATACAACAGATTTACCTTATAAATATACATACATATGTATTTATTTACAAACCCCATATAACACGTCAAACAGAAATACTTTATAGACGCATAAAACGCAAATATTATTACAACTGCAACTGTAATGCTATTTACATAGAACATATATTACATTGTTATGATACATCATACAGTAAACAAAAACACGCTTCCTTAGAATGTTTGTTGTTAAAAGCTAGACTACACTGACTAATTCAATAAATTATATTTATAATGCTATATTTTATATTCGTAGATGCTGGGGGGGGGGGGGGGGGTTGTAAGGGGGTGCAATTGCAACCCACGCTATGATGGAAAATATATAGAAAAAGTAAAAAAAAAAATTAGTAAGACCCCTGTTTAAATTTGGAATCTTCCAAGAAAAGACTTCTTTTTTTATTAGAAATGGGCTCACTCTTGACCTTCATCTTCAGCTGCCTGTTAACATGCACCTTAAATAGGTTCAGGTTATACGCACTCGGAAAAACAGACGCAGGCAGCGCATTCCACATCTTGGCTGTGCGCATTATAAAAGATGACGAATAGCGCTTAGTGCGAGTGGTCGGAATGTCAACCAAGAAAGGATGGTATTCTGCAGTACGTCTGGTGTTCCGATAGAAGAATGGCGATGGCGGTATGAGACTGTGGAGCTCGTGGGCGCACTCCCCGAAGTACAGTCTGTAGAAAACCGACAGACAAGCAACTTGGCGACGGTGTGCTAAGCTGTGAAGCTTAGTTTTCAAAACGATAAATAAGATATGAATAAAAAATATAAAGTTAATGATTTAATGATTAGTTATTAGTTTAATGATAGAAGAAGCAGATGCACCCCCCTGGAAATTGTTCTGGCGCCGCCCATGTTCACATTTGAAAGTGAGTTTCTCCTATTCTTAATATATGTATGTTAAGTGCAGCGACATATCCAACAGACACATTTGGATGGATGACCGTTTAATCATTAAACTGAGCGTTTCGCAGCTTTTGAGGTTAAATTATACAGGTTTACTCAATTGCAAATAATAATTGTTACTTTCTTGTGTGCGGGGTACCATAAAAATGTTCTGTTATATTCTAAGCCATTTGCTAGAAATGGCGCACAATCCAGACTTTCATCCAAGATATAGTTTAGTTGGGTTCAGAATTAATACGAATAAGTTTTATATTTCGTATATTGTGTGAAATTTCTATTTCGTATTGATATTTAAAAGTTAGGCCACCTACTTTTCTATAATAATTACGTAGCGAACTCAATTACCGGTCTTAAGTCGATAGTAGTTCTAATAGCATACTCTAATAAAAATAATCGCAGTCTCGTAAAAGCGGGTCACAGTTATTATTAAGGATATTATGTTTACATAAAATCAAGTTTTTACGAGCATGTCTCAGTTTTAATTTGCCTGTATAAAGACGTATGATAAACAAGTCTTTATAATAGGTATATATGTTTATATTATCAATAATTGCCAATTTCCGATATAGCTATTGCTTAGAATTATTATTACCTACATGCGATATACCTATATGCTAGAACTTAGTATCTAGCACTTAGAGTTAGTAAATCTCTTCAAATCCTCAACTCAAGGTTCTTTATTAAAGTTTATTATATAATAAGGAATAAAAAAATACTTATAGGTTTTTGTAATATATAGAAATAGTGTCTTAATAGAATTTTGTTCCAAAAATATTTATTTCTAAATGAAATAATAAAAAAAAATTAAGATAATAACGTTAACTTTTATAACATGAATAACTCTAACATTTGCTATGCACGAGAATCAAACCCTAGTCCTCGCATTATAAAATAATTCCCCCTATAAACAACATGTGCAGTGTGCACCAATCTTTAGGCGCATATTAATACAAGGTGCAATCATCACGATAGAGAACACGCGGGGCCGTCGTGAACGGACCGTGTACCTATAGTGTATACCTGCGTCGTGTATATATAAATACGTGCAAGTACATACGCATGATAATATATGATCTAATGTAAGATCAAATACTTTGTGCTAATTATACGTAACTAGCAAGGGCCCGCGGTTTCACCCGCTTTAAACTTGTTTGATTATAAATATCAGTTTTACAATAATGTATGGAAGTCTGCCTGATTTGTTCATATATATGATTACTGCTCAGCTTCATTGAGTAGTAGCATGATAACATATAGCCTATAGCCTTCCTCTATATACAGGCTATCTAATGCAAAAAGATTTTTTCAAATTGGATTAGTATTTCCCGAGATTAGCGCGTTCAAACAAACAAACAAACTCAGCCTCTTTATAATATTACGTTACGATATATTAACATTTAGGACATATAACTTTATTCTTTTATATGTATAATATTTATATACTTTTATCAATTATGTTATGGCGTCTAATTACAAATGCTTAGGTGGAGAATTTTTCTTCAAATCTATTA